TGTATTTGCTTGAAAAGTTAAAAATTGAAAAAATTTAATCTTTGTTCTTTTGCATTTGTATATATATATATATATATATATATATATATATATATTTAGAATTAAAATGGAACGAATTATTTTATATAATTTAAATATAAATATATATTTATATATATATATTGTTTTGAATATAAAAAAAACGCCCTGCAAAACAGTCTGTTTGATGCTTAAAATAACTAATCTTCAAAAATGAAAAGTCAAAAAATTTTTAAATTCAATCTATATTTTATATTTACATCTTTTCCATTATTTATATTGAGCAAACTACTAAGTATATTCTTATCAATTTTTATGAAGGGATTTCCAAATTTTATGGAACAATTAAAAATCTAAAGTATGAATGATGTAATATAATTGAACTGGAACATATATTTGATACATATATATATATATATATATTTATTTATAAATGTATAAATTTGTTTTATTTTTTGAAATGTTTTGCATTTTAAAAAAAAAAACTGTAACATCCTTTTCGTTGTTGATACTTTATCCGAAAACATTTCGGACAATTTATGACAGAAAAATGTGATTTATTTCATTCAACGCTTTATTTTATAAAAAACAATAATTTAAATTTTTTCTAAAAAAATATCAATTTTTTATTCTGTCTTTCACTTGAGGATCAGTCATATGAATGTTTGGTCCTTTCAAATCTATATGAATCTTATAGATGAAACTTTTAATATAAATTTGGAATTTAATTATATTTTAAGGGTTATAAATAAAATATATATATATATATATATATATATATATATATTATATATATTAATTCATTACAAAAGAATTTTAATATATAAAAAAAATATTTTGCTGTTTACATAACCATTTTTTAAAAACAAAATTTCCATGCCTGAAGATGACTAATGTGCAGTTAAAATAAAACATTAAAGAAAGACCTTATACAATTACAATTTTTTTTTTGAAAGGAATTTAACAATCATTTCGTGAAATTTATTTAATGTTCCTTTAAAATTTTGATAGCGAAGTAAAAACCAAATATCATTTAAAAATCTAAAAGAATTTTTGATTCATGAATATAAATTGAACTGCACCAGAATTTCAATATAATATATATATATATATAATATATAGTGATTTAGATCCTAACTAATTAATATTTCAAAACATTTTTATTCAACGTGGTGTAATGGTTATTAAATCAAATTTTCTTGAATCAATTCCGACTTCGTAAATATGTTTTGATCCTCAATGGTTATATATATATTTTGGCCATTTTGCCACATCTATGCTGAAAATCAAACAGCCATGGTTTGAATCCCCTTAAATTGTCATTTAAAATATGAAAACATATTAAAACTCACAGAATAGAAATAGATTCTGTGAAATAAATTTTTATTTTTCAAATTTTTCTAAGTTCAAAATTGGAAAAATTTCTTGAAACCACTAATCGTGTCAAAAATATAAAGTACACATCTAAAAATTCTATTTCCTGTTTTACCAAAACAAGCAGCAAACTTGTGGGCGGACCTCTGGCAGTTACTGTGACCTTGGCCTTTCTAAATTTCCAAAATCAAATTGGAACTACCACTGTCTTTGAACAATTTAATGACATTTTTCAGTCCTGATCTCAAATCATAAAACCAATGAGTTGAAACAAGTTATTTGTTTTGGTTATCTGAAATGAATAAATTCTTAAATTTAATGAAGTAAATTTGTTTTTTCTTGGTCACAATTTATAAATATATTTGAACACTCGGACTTGTGTCACTTTAAAATTTTCTATTCTAAAAACATGAATGGTGATGTTAAGTTCAAATGTTTTTAACTTAAAAGTTTGACAGACAATGAAATCTACAACATTAGTGTTTAAAATTAACCTGAAATATAAAGGGTTTTCATTAAAAAAATTCAACAGTAAATAAATCAATATTATTTTTAAAGATTTTTATTTTTTAATGTTTATTTTTAAGTCATGGCAATTTTATTTAAACGCCCAAATGTCAAATAAAATGTTTCTCTCGATGGTCAAGATTTTGATGACGTCTCTGTATAGTTGCTCCTCGATCTCATAATATGCCTTATTATCTCATCCTTCAGCTGTTGAATTGTTGTTGGCTTTTTGGCATAGACCTTACTTTTGGATGACCCTAAAGGAAGAAATTTAAAGGTGTCAAGTCGCACGATCGTGGTGGCCAATTGACTTCGCTGTTTTTGAGATGATGCGACCTGGGAACGTCTCATTCAAATTCTGTTTGAACGTCCATTTTTGTAATAGGCTTCGATAACTTTAACACGTTGTTTGATTCTTAAACTTTCCATGGTTGAAATTTCCAAATACGTAAGTTGTTAAATCTGAAAGAAAAAAAAAAAAAATCATTAGACGCTTAAACTTAATTCACATTTAAAATTCTTTTTCTCATACATTTTTATTTTTATTTATATACGGCTTATATATTTTTTTTAATAAGACCTGTTTTTTTATTTTTCCATCCATGTCAAAAATGAAAATATTTGCAATTTAATTTTAAATTAAAAATTCTAAAGAATGGTCACCTTCATATTTATATCAAATCAGTAAATTTGAAAAATCATAGGTTACCCCTGCCCTAGATTGATTTAAAATTTGGCTAAACAAAATATATATAACCAATATAAATGACGTTTATATAATCCAAATTTTTCTTAAAGAAATCGACTCTATTCCAAAATATAAATTTAAAATATTAAGCATAAAACACAATATGACCGTTAAAATTAATTATGTCCACGCAAACATTCTACATGCAGGTCTAACGGTGTATCATCTACCATGTATTCAATTGTAAAATTTTTTTTTCATAAACTTTTATTATTTCAAAGCTTTTTAAAAAAAAAAAATATTAAATGACCTATAATGAGGTTGATATGCCATTAAACAAATTTAAATAGAAATAAAACTCAGGTTAAAACCTATATCAAACTTAAGTTACCCCGCGGTTGATATTTTTCATCAAAACACCGAAAATTTATCCGTTGTCTAAAATTTCGCATAATTTATAATTTTCATGTACGGGCGCCAACAACCAGTTTATTCGCAGTGATGCTTTCAATTGTTAAAACAGTGTTTTAAAATTGAAACATAATTTATATAATTTTAATTTTGAATTAAAAAAAATTTAAATATTGGATTTCTGAGTTCATCTCTTTTTCAAATTTCTGAGTTCATCTTATTCAGTTTCAATTTCTGGAAAAACAGATTTGTGAATTGACTTTTATATACGTTGAATCCCAAAAATTCATTAAAATGGAATATTAAACTGTCATCATATGTTTCAATTAATTAAAATAAGGTTTGGCTTTTGAAAATTTTTAAGTTGACTGGAATGCAAAAGCTGGAAAAGATTTTTTTTTAATTGCTATTTCTAAGGAACCGTTAAAATAAACTTACGGTTTTCCATTTTTTATTTTTTTAAAAAAAACTAAGCTGTACTACGTATAGTTTTCTTAAAAAATAATAAGAGGGAAACGAAAAGAAAAAAAAAACAAAAAATAAGTGTGGATGTAATTGTGTGTGGAAGAAAATTATATATATATATATATATATATATATATATATATATACAGACATAAAGTTCATGTGCACTTTAAAAATTTATAACTTTATTTGTATTTTTATAGAAATAATTTGTAAAAAGAATTAGAAAAAAAGTAAATCTATATTTTTAGTCCACATGTCCTCCATCATTAGCAATACAAATGGGTAATACGATTTTGCAGTTCACGGAAAAAAATTTGCCAACTGATTTACAGTAATGCCTTAAATCCCATTAGTTATTTTAGCTATATTAAAACTAGGTACATTAAACTTTATAACATTTTTAAGATTATTTTATCATAAATACAAATAAAGTTATAAACTTTTAAAGAAAATAATGAACTTTAAACACTATTATATATATATATATATATATATATATATATATATATATATATATATATATATATGTTTTTTTAAAAAAACAAATTGACAAATATTACAATTTAAAACTATACGATAAAATAACGAATTCTATATAAAGCATAAAAAATTTAATTTAATTTCGAAGAAAATTTATAGCAAGAAAATTTACTGCTGAAAAATGAAGACGTAAACAAAAGCAAAAATTCATGAATTGATATTTAAAAGTTAAATAACCATAATTTTTTTTTTTTTTTTTTTTATCAGGAAATATAAGAAAATTTAGCAAACGCTTTGAAAAATGGGAAAGGGAGCAAAAATTGAACTAAAACAAAAACAGCACATTAGTCCGATGAAGTCCTGAAGTAGTGTTTCCTAACCTTTTCTTTTTTGTGGTCCGTTTTAGGTGTCCAAACATTTTTTGTGGTCCGTTTTAGGTGTCCAAACATTTTTTGTGGTCCGTTTTAGGTGTCCAAACATTTTTCTCCGTTTACCCCAAGATTTCTAGCTTAAAAAAAAACAGGAAATACATTTTATTTGCAAAATGGAGTAGAATATATACGTCCTGGCGAAAGACTACACTGTTCCCGGTCTCTCCAGACCCCAGACCCATTTAAAATATTTTCAAACCCACTTTTGGGCCTATAGTCCAAAAAAAAATCACTGTTCTAAAGGATCCTTTTGTCACATTTTTTTTTTGTCATTAATTTTCGTAATATTTACGTGTATTTTTATATGTGTATATGTGAGAGAGAGAGAGAGAGAGTGGGGGAGTAGCGAAGACGATTGTGAGTGTATGTTTTTTGTGTGTATATATGTGCGTGTGTGTTCGTGGATTTTTTGTTACATTCCTCTTGCTGAACAGAAAAAAACACCCAAAATCTTGCTCATTCAATTATCCAACAAACACGCACACACAAAAAAATCCAGTCCACAACACATGCGCATACTCAGTGATATTTTTTAAATAAAAGCATCTCTTTTTAAACCCGGAGAAATAAAATTACCTGCAACTTTATTATCTATCAAAAATGTCCGATCCTAACATTAGATTATGTCTACTGTTTTTTCCTCTGTCTCCATATCTCTATATATCTCTCTCCACCCTGTCTCTGTCTGTCCTCTCCTCACGGCTTCTATCATCCTCTCGCTATCTATCTATCTATCTATCTATCTATCTATCTTCTGTTTTCCTCTCATTCCGTCTTCCTGTCCCGTCCTCCCAATCCTTCCAGCTGCCTCATTCTTTCTCTCTTCCTTCTCTATCACTTTCTCATTTTCCTCTCTCACTGTCTCTCTCTCTGTCTCTCTCTCTCTCTCTCTCAGTGTATGTGTATTTCTCTCCCTGTTCTCGGCTTCTGTCATCCTCTCACCCTATCTCTCTTCTGTTTTCCTCTCACTCCCTCTTCCTGTCCAGTCCTCCCCCTCTTTCCAGCCACCTCACTCTTTCTCTCTTCCTACTTTATCGCGTTCTTCCATTCTCTCCAAATCTCTCTCTCTCCCATTCTCTCCCTCCCTCTCCCCCCTATCCCTCTCTCTCTCTCTCTCTCTCTCTCTCTCTCTCTCTGTATGTGTATTTCCCTCCCTGTCCCGGCCTCTCGGCTTCTATCATCCTCTCTCCCTATCTCTCTTCTCTTTTCCTCTCACTCACTCTTTCTTCCCCACCGTCTCTCCCTCTATCTCCTTCTCTATTAAATATAAACTTTTCTGTCACTTTCTCATTCCCCCTCTCTTTTTCTGTCCAGTTGTCAAACGGATATTCTTTAATCTTTAAACGAAAGTGATAAATAAGTTTTGTAACAGGCTTTCCTTTTCTAGAGCTGACTTTACTCCGCCTGAAAATAAACATATATAATATATATATATATATATATATATATATATATATATATATATATATAGAGAGAGAGAGAGAGAGAGATAGGAAGTTTCAGAGAGAGAAAAGAACAGATGGAGTAAAAATCCATAATTTGTAGACATTTACTTTTTAAAAAGTGCTCAATACTAAGTAGAGCAAAATATTATTATATGATTATTATTATAATAGATTATAATAAGAACATTTTACATCGCTACACAAAAGCCCTCATGTTTCAATACGATGATTGTACTTCCTCAGGCAATGGTAGATAACTTGTGATAAAAATGATTTATTAGGGAAATTTAAAAATACGTCGTTACCACTTTTCGGAAGTTAAAAGTGGAGAATAAGGTCAGAATTAAAAATATACTTACGGGTATGTCTAAATTAATCAATTAAAATGAAATCTACGCTAAAATAGAAAAATAAGGTCAGAGGGTGGAGGTGGGTGAATTATTTTTTTCAGGTCAAGATAAACTGACGCCTAGACATGTCATCCAATGATCGTAGGAAAAATGGCAGCGGCAAATGTATCATGGATGTAGCCAAGTGTGATGTTCTGATTTGTTGAAGTAGACATAAAATTATCAGAAACAAATTTACAAAAAATTATATTCAGGAAGCTTCTTAAAGGAGCCAATATGTAAAATTAAAAATGTGGAACATCTATATACGATGCTGAGAAGACGGTAAAACATGGCAATATTATAGTTGAATAAATCAAATAAATATTGGCTGGACCATTATATACTAATAAAATAATGGCTATACAATTGTAATACGTAATTATTTATGAAAAAAAAAAAATAACTATATTTTAGGGTAAAAGATCGATAGTGCCGACATAACACCGTTAATTCATTTCTTTGGTTTAACAGAGCTTTTTTTTGTTAGCAAACTTTATCATATTTAATTTTTCTTGTAAACACAGGGAACATAGATCAATGATTTACAAGTTCTATTTTTAAAAAATATTTTCCATTTTATTGTTGGAGTTTTGTTAACTTCTTTTAAGTACCAAAACTATTTAGAAAGGGGCGTTCTATTACGGCACGCAGAGAGGCAAACCTTACGACAGTGGGAAAGTGATTGAAGCTGAGACGCCAAATCAGGACCAATAATATTGCTGATTCTACTTTGGATCTTATCGAGGAGCTCCAGGAAAATAGAAGGGGGGCAAGACCATATATGACAGCAATATTCTAAGTATGGACGAATGGTAGATATAAGTCTATATGCAAGATTGATTCCAGAGAGAAAAAAATTGTCTCGCTCAATATAGTGAACTGACTATATTAGCAGCTGATCCAGCGATGGATCGAATATAGTCTTTCCACCTCATGTCAGCTGAGAACGTTGCCCAAGAAGGTGCATTGTGTCACTTTCTTAGAGGATAACATCAGCCATACTGATGGAAGACAGAGTGGAGTTTGTCAGATGCTTAATGGAGAGCAGTTTAGGTTTGGCTGCGTTAAAATTGAAAAGCCATCTTTTTCATCAGTTAACGACGGTCTTTGGGTCGTTTTGTACATCGGACGCCATTTTGACCTTGTCTGATTGATCAGCCTTAGTATCGAAGGAGGAGTAAATGGCAGTGACGTCATCGTAGATGCCAAGTTACTTTTTCTATATTTCTTCTTTCTTTTTGTTACTCCAACCCTTTCATTTCTCCCTCCATCTATTTGTCCTTTTTTTTCTAAAATAGACTAATATCACTCATCACTTTTTTTCCTTCTTTTCTCGTTTTACAGCCGTATCACGTCGAAGCAGTAATTCTGTTGTTTTCGCCGTAGTTAAACAACATTGAGCCGGGTCAGTATGGGTGACCGCTTGGGAATACCAGGCGGTGTTTGCTTGGATATGCCGGTCGTATAACAGCTCAGCATGAGAAATCGGAGAACCGATTTTCAATTTGAGTCATGTACGCGCACATACTCTTGGGAATGGTATGAGCCTGTCTCTTATCCCCCCAGCTATGGGTTAATTAGTAGGACTTGTATAAATAAATAATTATTATCTCCAAAAAGGTTTTACAATCTAAAGATATATTCGGGTATTAAATAACTTTTAAATGTTTGATAACCCGTAAAAATCAATAAAAAAAAACCCTGGCTACTACAATTTTAACCTCTTGAAATCAAGATTCAGTCATTATAAGATATAAGTATCCGCCATTTTTGACTTTACACAGATGCATTTCTTTTCGATGGCATTCGATATAGCAGTGGTTAATAAATCTGTTTGAAGGTGTGATAGAACTAATTTCAACTCGACAGTAATTTACTGATCAATCCCCGCGCTCAGTTTCTAATAAAAATCCCCGAATAGTTCAATTTAGGTGCTTAATTCGAAAATAACAAAGAAATTTTGATAAAATCTACCGTTTTAAACTCTTCAAATCATGATTCAATCATTATCTATCCTGCTTGGGAAAGGTATGAATCCACCTCTTCTGTCCCTCTCAGCTATGGGTTAATTAGTAGAACTTGTGCAAGTAAATTATTATTATCTCCAAGACTTTTTTACGTTCTAAAAATATCTTCTGGTTCTAAATAACTTGCAAATGGTTGATAAGCCGTAAAAAATCTAATCAATCCTTCTTCTTTTACCGTTTATTCTTTTCTTTCTTACTTTTCCTTTCTTTTTTTTTTTACTTCATCTTTTCAAAAGCATTTCTGTAATCTTTCGAATTCGATGTCTTTGTTCCAGTTTCAAATGTTGATTTATAAATGATTTCAAATATCAAATTTCTTTGCGGTCACTTCTCTGTGATTTTGAGCTACATGATAAAATCAGACATGATTTCCATCTCAAAAATATTGATGGAACAGGAGAACTAAATGAAGTTATGCAGATGAAAAAAAAAACCAAAAAAAACAAAAAAAAACAAAAAAACGGAAGAGCAAATGGAGGCTATTGTCTGTATATCTGATATGAATTGTATTCATTATTCCGTGAATTATTCAAACGAAGAGCCTCATTGATCAATTCTCTGTAGATTTTTTCCCTTTATCACTCTTCTCTGTACTTCTAAATTCTTCATATTACAGTGTGTTTTTTTTTGTTTTTTGTTTGTTTTTTTTCCGATGTCTTTTCCCTCTTTCCGGTATTTTATAAAAGAAGTTCTTCGTCTGTTTTCCATTTCGTCTCTTTCTTTTATTTCCACCATGTTCTATTCTTCTTTCTTCTTCGCTGTATCTTCGACACTATCTTTGTTTATCGTTCTATTCTAAACGTGGTTCTTCTCCGTGGGTCTTCTTTTCCTTTTCTTTTTTTTTTTTCTTTTCTTTTTTTCTTTTTTTCTCTCTCTCTTTCTCTCTTTCTCCCTCTCTTTATCCCTCTCTTTCTCTCTCTCTTTCTCTCTCTTTTTCTCTCTCTCTCTCATCTTCTCTCCCTCTCTTTTTGTTTCTCCTCATATTCAAAAATTTATTCCGTAATATATCGATTTATTTGTATATATTTTTTTATTTCTCCATTTTCGTTTCTATTTATTTTCACTCTTTTCCGTCTTTCTTCTTCACCATATCTCTTTTTGTTTTTTTTTTTATATATATATATATATATATATATATATATATATATATATATATATATATAAATATATATTATATATATATAAAACCCTTTTCATTTTTTTCATTTTTTTTTCACCATTTTACGTTTTATTTCAATCCATTTTTTATATTTCTTTCATTTTCGTTATATCGCTTCCTTTCTCATTTCTTTGCATTTTCATTTTTTTTTCTATATTTCTTCTTTGAAACGTTTTTTTTTTCTTTCTGATGTTTGCTATATTTTTAATTTAGATCATATATCTTTTTCCTATCCTTTCTGCTTATTTTATCTTCGCATTCTTTTCTTTGTTTATTTCTTCATTATTTTTCTTTCTATTTTTTATGGTATTTTTTTACTAATCATATCTCTTCTTTTTTCTTTCTTTTATGTTTCCTTTTTTTTTATCATTCTTTCGTGTTCTGTGTATCTGTTCTTCTTTCTTTTTTACTTTTTCAACAGCTCATATTCTTTCATTCACTTTTTTATTTTATTTCTACCCGTTTCTCTATTTTCTTTTTCGTTGTATTTCTTCATTTTTTTTCTTTTCCTCCTTTTTTGCGCTTCTAGCTTTTTCAACGGAACCCTTTCTTTCTTTCTTTCTTTCTTTATTTCTTTCTTTCTTTATTTATTTATTTGTTTCTTTATTTATTTCTTTATTTCTTTATTTCTTTCTTTATTTCTTTCTTTCTTTCTTTCTTTCTTTCTTCCTTTCTTTCTTTGTTTCTTTATTTCTATATTTCTTTCTTTCTTTATTTATTTCTGTATTTCTTTATTTCTTTCCGTGTTTCTTTCTTTATTTCTTTCTTTTTTTATTTCTTTCTTTCTTTCTTTCTTTATTTCTTCCTTTCTTTGTTTCTTTCTTTATTTCTTTCTTTCATTCTTTATTTTTCTTTCTTTCTCTATTTCTTTCTTTGTTTCTTTGTTTCTTTCTTTATTTATTTGTTTCTTCCTTCCTTTGTTTCTTTCTTTGTTTCTTCCTTTGTTTCTTTCTTTCTTTCTTTCTTTCTTTCTTTCTTTCTTTCTTTATCTGTCTACCTTTTTTTATTTCTCCTCTTTTTTTCCTTTTTCTTTTTTCTTTTTTTCTCTTTCCTATTTTTCTTTCATTTTCTCTTTTTAGAAACTGCTTTTTTCTTCGCTTCAACTCTTTTTTTTTCTTTTTTTTTGTTACTCCTTCAATATTTTTTTCCTTTTTCGCCACATTGTATTATTTTTAGTTTTCCCAATAGCCATGTTGTGTTGCTTGTTTATTGTTTATTGAGTGATATTCTAAGTTTTTTTTTCCATCATGAGAAACTGACATTAACCCCCACTTTTTCTTGGAAAATATTAAAAAAAAACAAAAAAAAAACAACTAAAAGGACAAAGAAAAAAAAAAACGAAAAAAAAGGACACCGATACCCATGTCTTTTTCCCGCTACACCTGACGGTGAATTTTAAGCAAGCCCTTAATCATGATCAAATCACGTGACCTGTTTGTTTGTCCAATCAGACGGACGAAACATCCGCTTCTACTTCTTCTCCGCACCGACCCCCCTTCTGTCTCTATCTCAATCTCTATTTCTCACGCTCTCTTTAATCCATTCTTTTTCTTCTTCTTTTTTCTCTGCACTTTCCCGCCCCTTACCAACAGCCAGTGTCCGGTTGTCACAAGTTGTCCCCACGTGACATGACGTCCGAAAACGAGGTCACTGTCAAAGGCGGGAAAAGGGAAGGCCGCATCTGTGACTAATGTCAGATGCGGTTCACCAAGCATCCAATATTTGGACTCAACATGGACAGGAACTCTTTGTGTCACCTAGAGCTTCCACAGGCAAGGTGTTACAACTGTTCAGAGGTGGGGGCATGGAGGATATAAAGGCAATCATACTAAAAAAGATCCAAACAAAGTAATTCGATAAGGCATAAAATTATAATATTAATAAATTTTTTGTATAAAAATTAATATATATATATATATATATATTATATATATATATATATATATATATATATATATATATATATTTATAGATAGATTTTTCCCAAAAGATAGAATCCATTCTAGAACTCAATGTCCAGGAGAGCGTTAAGAATATAATATAAAAAATATTAAACACTAATTTCCGTTTTATAATTTTTTACATTGAAATCGTAATGACGATCTAATGAATTGGATCGTGATTACGATTCCAGTTAGAATAAATTATAACCATGTATATGTTTTGTTTTATATATATATATATATATATATATATATATATATGTGTGTGTGTGTGTGTGTGTGTGTGTGTGTGTGTGTGTGTGTGTGAAGAAAAATATACTGAAAAAAAAATAAAAATCCTAATATGCGATTATGCTGTTTTAATGTTTAATGTCAAATCGGACGTTTCGGTCTAATAGACCCTCTTCAGGACATATTCATAAAACATAATTAACATAGACCATATACAATTCAACATGAAAAAGACGATGGATTAAGCAAATCATATAAACTTCAATAATTCAAATTTGGTTAGAAAAAAATGTCAAATTTTAAACAATCAATTTAGATGGCAATACAAAGCCTAACTTAAAATTTTATGTAGTATCAATAAGTTTTATTGAGCTTATTGAACTTTTTTGATTTATTCTAAAAAACTGCCGTCTGAAGTTATTAGGCAAAACCAAATAATCACATTTTACTTCAATAAAAATTTAATAAAATCATCAAAAATTGAATAACATCTAGAATAGAACAAATAAAAAACACATATGATAAGTCTTTGAATCCTTTACATTTTAATATAGTGACCGTTCTTCTCAATAACAGTCAGTAATCTCTTATCCATTGATTTTGTTAATTTATTTTACTTCAGCAGGTTCAATTTCCGACGAGGTAGTTTTAATTGCTTCCCATATGCCTGCTTTGCTGTTATATTGTTTGCCACCTTCATATCGTCACAATTGATCGTCACAATTGACCATAGATTTTCGATTGGATTCAAATCAGAATTTGATGATGGCCATTCTATTATCTTCTCTCTTGTAAATGTTTTATGCTCAAATAATTCACGGGTAAGCTTAGATACATGAAAGGATCATTGTCGTGCATAATTACACACTTCACTTTGAAACTGCGAGACTGGAACTTGCACCATGCAAAGAAATTCTTTTTCATAAAATCGCAATAATTAACACTTTTCGGTTTAACTGCTTTATCGACTTTTGAATGGTCCAATAATGGTTTGGTCGACAATTCCAGCCCATATCATAACACTACCACCTCCTTGTTGCCTTCTTTTTTAGCACAGGCAGGCATGTCTGAATTGGATAAAATCCATCCTTTGGCCCATCCATCAGATCCATCAAATATCACTCGAGATTTGTCCGTGAAAATTACTTTAGAAAAGTCAATTTCCATGTATTTCTTGGCCCAATTTTGATGCTTTAAAATATTTGCTTTAGTGAAAAGAGGTTGCCTAGAAGATTTTTTTTACAGATCCGATCCACACAGTATTCTACATATTTTGTCCTTCTGGACTCTCTCAATTCCAGTCTTTTCAAAGTTCAAAGCGTTGGTCGAAAATGGTTGTTTCGCTATAACTCGCTGTGGTTTACGTCATCTCGAGGAAGCAAGTTCTTAAAGGCCTTTCCTTTGCTTTGAATTCGCAACTTATATTTTCAACATCCTTCTTTATCTTTCTATGATCTCTGAAAAGCTCCTTTGATATCTCCAATGTGGACATTCCTTCACTCAATAAATTTACTTTCTGTTTTTCAGCAGTTGTCAGATCCTTTCCTTTACACAAATTACAAAATATCTTACGGACAAAAAAAAATATTACATTTCAGAGTTTTTAAGCTAATAGTTTCACCTGTATACTAACATCAGTCAGTCCATTTTCGTAAATTCCAAATATCTCAAAAACTAACCATTAAAAATCTCTGAAAATTTAGTTAGATATTTTACTAAAGGTGGAAATGGACAAGTTTAAATTTGACAAATATTGGTTCAGAACCTTTTGAGTTATTGAGATTTATTTGATTTGCATAAATTTAGATAGGTGTCTGTCTATATTTCTGAGATGAGGTATTATGTACAATTATGACACATGGCAAAGTGGATAAAGGCGTTAGTTAGATCCAGTGACAGGACACAAAGAGTCTGAGTTCAATATCCGGTTAAGGCAGTGGAGAACTTTCAGAGGAAAATTAACAGGAGATAACTGATAACTGACTTCCATTAAACATGACACGTGGAACTAGAACCGTGGAACTACCCCAGTGAGCGAAATAAAGGGTTCAGTTCGACATTCCAACCGCCGAAACGTTGTGATAAATATGGCGACAATGATGAGGAAAATAGTCCGAATAATGTTTCAAACTGCTAGATTTTATCAAAACTACAGGGTATCCCAGAATTTAAAAAAAAATCTAATGCTTCGACATGTTTTTATTATTCAATTTTTTTTAATTTTTTTATACAGAATGGAAATTTAAACATTGGAAATATATTCTAGATCATTAATGTGAAATTATATGATATAAGTATCCACCATTTTTTGATTTTACACAGATGCATTTCTTTTCGATAACATTCGGCCTAACAGTGGTTTATAAATCTGTTTGAAGGGGTGACAGAACTAATTTCAACTCAAGGGTAATTTACAGATCAAGCCCTGCGCTCAGTTTCTAATAAAAAAATTCCGAATAGCCCCATTTAAGTGTAAATCTACATGCTTAATTGGAAAATAACAAAGAAATTTTCACAAAATCTACCGTTTTGGAATTATCGATAGTAAAAGATCGGATTCATTCGCGTCGCGGCGGGTGAAGTTGAAATAAATACTGGCACCCGTTTTAAAGCCCTCGAATTTCTGTACACACGTAAGTTGGGGAATTGTCTGCAGTTTATTGATGTATGAATAACCAGGAAGCGTCAGCTCAGGTGAATTTCGTATCCCAAAAACTTTGGGATTTTGTGAAATTATCTGTTCGCTAAATGTTTAGTTAAATCAAAAATAAAATGTTATGATTTCAGTCGAGAATTTTTTTCCTACGTTAATTTGAGTTCAGAGGAAAAGAAAGAAGTAAAGTTTATGAAAAATCTGGCATTTTATGACATTTTTAAAATATTTTATGATTTTTTTTTTATTTTACACCTTTAATAAAAAAAAAGAGTCCTCACCCCAATAAACAGAAATTGAAGATTATTTTATTTCAAATATTTTCTTTTTTGGACACAGAGGTGATTTTTTATCTTTTTTATTTTTTTACTTGAAAATAAGTAAGATTGGTGGGTTATATGTGAGTCTATAATCATTAGTTCGTGAATAGTCAAATACTAGCTGTTTATATTTGAGTCTATATGAATCTACTTGTAAAGGAGATTGGTATATGTAGGTCTTTTATATTTTGGTATCTTCGCATTTACTTAGTTCGTAGATAGGAAAATATTGATCGTTTATACTTGCGTCTGTGGTCATTTACTTGTTAAGTACATTAGTGAATATTGGTCATTTATATTCAAGTCTATAAGTATTTACTTGATCGGGGAACGGTAACTACTGGTCGCTTATAAACATTTGTTTGGTAGATGGCCCCCTTTCGGAGATGAGTCTCTTACTCCCTTACAGGCGTTCCAATCGCTGAGAGGTTAACACAAATGTGAGCAAACTTGTCATTATAAAGTTTATTACCGTTATAAAATTTCCGCGAGGCAAGTATCTAAACAATTCATCGATGAGTAAAGAGCTATAATGTATATCTATATAAAACACATTGCATTGATGCAATAAATGCTCGATTCTTTTTGGTTTTCGTTTCTCATATTAAATACTAGATTTATCTGTAGTTCTTAAATTAAACGCAACCTTAGTTATTATAGAGCATTAACCTCCTTCACCAACCAATATCTTCCACTTGGGAAATGCCTTTTATTTATTGATTGAAGAGACGGACTTGTCCATTAATTTAAATTTCAAAATGTCTAAGTTATTAAAAAAAGAATATTGAATAAAAGCGGCGTCGTGAAACACTCAAGCGATGGCAATTGTAATTATTCTTCAAAATTAGACGGACGGTAAATGGACGACATTTCTTATTCAAAATAGGCGAAGAATTTAATTACAAATTATTTAAATTAAAACTGACATGGGGGGAAAGAATTAAAGCAACCGCAGACGACTGTGTTCATTCATTGTTGCTTTTTCTCGGAGACACAAGTTGTTACTTTGACCGGATGTTTTCAAAACTATCCTTGACACAATTCTCGTCTGTCATTCATTATTTTATAAAATTTGTCAAGGCTACAAAAGTACAAAACAAAAAGCTTGCCTGCATCCTCAATATGCTGCAAAAGAAGACAAAATTGTTCGCTGTAAACATGTTGATTGCATCAGTCCTAGTATGCTCGAGTGTTTCGATCTTGACGGATAAAGAATGTAAAAGATTTTAGAAGTATGAAAAACATAATTTTCAACATTCGGTTATCGAAGTTTTCATGGTAATATTTGGGTTTAATTTGTTAGCAGCTACTTAATAAGGCAACGAAAAGATGACCTTGTTTATGGAAATTTAGACATGCCTGCTTGCGCCGAAATGGATACTTTTTTAATATTTAGATGACAAGTATTCTCACTATTATTATTATTATTATTATTATTATTATTATTATTATTATTATTTTATTACTAGTTTTATTCCATCTTAT